ATATTTTCTGGCAATTTTTCACCGGAGGATCTAAAATTTAAGGGATTTTTATTGAATAAAAATTTATCGGAATGTTGAAAAATAGTAATGTATTATAATAAAAATATTAAAACATTATTTTATATAATCCCTTATAATTTGGTAATTTTTTGAAAAAGTGAATTTTTCATAGTTAGATTTTATGTTGTCTATCGTTATACAACATTAAAATTTTGATACACGCTCTGTTACTTTTTAATTGTTATAATGTGAAAATATATGTGCATATGTGAGTAAATGATAATATTGTGAGTCATAAGGGGCTTGAATCCTTTGAAATTCTGTCTGTGTCAGGAAATTTCTAGGAGTTAGAATACTTTTAGATTTTATATGAATCCGATAAATGTGATATGAACTATTCTGTGATATGAATTTCAATTTATTTATTTGTTATGTATTATTATTTAAATCATATACTAACTGCTATACATTTATTATATTTCAGTTCTCTGATTCTCAGTTTAGTGATTTATTTAAACTACAATTAACTATTTTTAAATATTCAGCAAAATATTTGATAAAAGAATATTTAAATTTTTAAATTGGTTTGTGTGGCTTGCTGAGCTGCTATAACTCACTGTGATTTTACTTCTGATTTTCAAGATCTGGAAATGGGAAGGAGATTGTGGACTAGCAGTTCATGATCAGATTTGAGGTCATAGATATTTTGTTATTTTGATTTTTGTACAATTATGATTAGTTTAATTTTTTTAGTTATGTAGCTCTTGTCTGTAGTCATATATTGTAGTGTTGATATTTATTTTGATGAATGAAAAAAACTTTATGAATATATTTTTCAGTATTTGAATATTTTAGTAGCTATGTAGTTTGTCATTTATTTTAATGAATATTGACAGAAAATCTAAAAAAAATTCAAAACTAGATCTTGATGTTTTTTCTGTCACAGCTTAACGCGATAGGACATGTCATGGTCGGGTTGGGTTGTGACATATGCTAAGCTCCCTTAAAATTAAAAGAGCATGATCAAGTGTGGATGTAATTGAAATTTAAGCTATTTAATATATACAACTGTTTGAGATGTTGATTTCAATATTAATTTCTTAAAATAATCAAACAAGTGTTTTATAGTCTTTTAATTTTTGAGATTTAATGTAATTTAATTCATGTCAAATGCTATGAAAGTGATTTTTGAGATAAGATGTTAAACATCCTACTTGGAATCCAAAGAGTTGGAGGGAACATCTTTTAGGAGAGAGTTCTATTCCATTTGAAAATTCAAGTTATTATGGTTTTGAATCCAAATATGAAAGAAACACCCCTTATGGGAGGAGTTCTTTCCATTTGGATACATGGACCCAACAAATCCAAGGACCTTGCAAAAGGATGAAGAAATGAAGACTGAGAAATCTCATTCTTAGAATAACTTGCATCAATTTTAGAAGTAAAACCTAGGTTGTCGGTGGTACCCTACCACTTTTAATTTCAACAAATCCTTAGTAGTAATTAAGTGGAGCTTGCCATATAGACTTTATATTTAATTTGATGATTTAATTATTTTGTTTATATTGATTGCACAGTAGAAATTGTATGTTAATCTTTTTTTTATATGTTGATCTTTGCTTTAGCCTGGAATCGATCAGAGGCTCGTGAGGGTATATTAAAATCTTTTCTATTCAAATTAAATAAAATATATCAAGCTTACATAGAAATCTAATGATCTTAAGAAATAAGCCCAGAAACGACCCAAGAGTTCGCATGCATTATTTTGATTTTTCTCTACCTTATTAGGCACCTCCTTGCCTGCGGTTTCGCAGACCACCTGATCTATTAAGGTGCATCCCTGTAAATGATGTTGTGCAATATATATGGAAAAATATATTTTAAGTTTTTTCAAACTACTTCATATCAATTTTATACATTCAAAGTTCATTTAACATGCATTACATTGAAAATAATTTAAAAGAATTTAAAAAAATTAATTGTATTTTTTGGAGTATCAATCAACCTACATAAGTTAAGGGGTCACTTAAGATTTACTTTAAGTCTTGGCCCCGATTCCTCAAAAATTAATAGACAACGTCCCTACCCATCTGCATAACAGATTGGACACATAATTTTTCATGACTTCCCGATGCGGATAAGCAGTAAGTCAGGTAGGAGCTAGTTTTTAAAGCGCTTAGGTGGTTAGCTAGCTCCCAAGGACCCCAATCTAGGTCGTGATAAGTCCAGATTTGCACTATATTAGCTAGGTTCGGGCCACTATTGTTTAGTGCCCAAATTAGATCCAGTATCCATGACTCAAAACTATGCGACCCCAACTTTCTAATAAATTGACAACTCAAATCAAAATTTAAAGCCCAACACATAGGATAGAACGTGATATTTCTGAATTATTTCAGAATCTCAAAGTATCTCATACTTTTTCTCCATTGACTTACAAAAATAATTGCTTAAAATTTAATCAAATCCCAGTTGAAAATTCAAGCCTTACTCCTTTGATATAACTCCTTAAAATATCTTAAGATAAAATTTCTGTGGTTATTTTAATTGAGAGTTCTTGTATGAAATTCAAGTTTCCTATGATATAATTAACTATGAGATCTTGCGCTCGTAGGAGATTTAAAGACCCCAAATTAATTTTCTTAAAAAATTAATTAATCTTCTTAGGAAATCAAAATCAACGACAATCATAATCGCCATATTTGAATAATTGATAAGCCATACATTTTTCTTTTCTCGAGGAGATATGGCATTCATTGTTATGACCTCGAATATGAAGTTAATGATAACACATCTAGATTATCGTAGCTAAATATTTGATCGAACATTATATTGAACATTAGGGGCCATATGTATTTCATCCATGAATTTGACTACGACATTTAGAATGGAGTTTGCAATTCTAATATGAACCCCGTTAAAAAAATCTTATTTTCACCTCCTAATGTGGTATATCGTTTCTGATGACATGTTCAATTTCAGAATTAAAATTTAAAAGACAATTTAAAATTTTCCAAAGAAATTTATTTATGATTTGTTTTGTATCTTTTCAATACAAAGCAAACCCCTTTTTCAATAAATAGATGTTTATAATTGATATAATTAATATATCATTAAAAAATTATCTTGATCGGGCACGAATCTTGAGGCAAAATTAAGTTGGAAATTTCAAAAATTAAATCCAAGACCATATGAACTCTGATTTCAACAAACTTACTATCGAACTGAACATCTCAAAAGGACAAACACAAGGACACCATATTCGACTCAGTCCGAGCCCAAATGGGTCCAAATCAAAGACCCAAAACACATTTGGAAGGTTCAAACAATAATTTGGATTACCAAACAGTTTCTAAACATGACATGCTTATAGTAGAATCGAACGGATTGATGAGACAATCCAATGAGCCCAAGATCACCAAATTCTAATATTATTAAGACATTTAAATGTCTAATAAATGGTCTATGATAAAGGGTTTAACATCGACTGACCATTCAAACCACCCCAAATTTACCCTTGATCTACCTCCTATTTACGGGGTCATGTCACTTTCAGATATCTATGAATAGACCCTTCCCTTCTCATGAAAGGGGACGCCCAAGCAAAGAAGCAAGAAGAGAGATCGAAGATCGCTCTTACCACATAGCTCCTCCTCGAACATCTCTCAGACTTCCGCCAGACCACCGCATAATGCCAGACTTCCACCGACTGTGGTTTTCCCAACCTTCGTCGCCTGCCAACTGTGGTTTTCCCAACCTTAGTCGTCCGCCGACTATGATCCTTCTGACGTCCTTCGCCGACTACGCTCCTTCCGACCTCCATAGACATACAACATTCTTTCTGATCTCCTCGCCTACCGATTATGTCCTTCCCATTTCCTTCATCGACTACGGTCATTCCGACCTCTGTCGCCAGACAACGGTCATTCTGACCTCTATCACCTGCCAACAATAGTCTTTCAAAACCTACGTCGCCCGCCGACTACGGTCCTTTCAACCTCCTTCACCAACTATGGTCCTTCCAATTTCATCGCTAGACAACGGTCTTTCTGACTTTCATCGCCAGACAATGGTCTTTCCGACCTCCATCGCCCACTAACTATGGTTCTTCCGACCAAATGAACACATCAATAGTGATTCTTCCTATTCACATCATGTAATGTACTCCATATGATATATATTTGTTACATCAAGTCAAGGCCTTCCCCCCAAGGAAGTGCCTCATTTGTAATCAACTACAAATACTAGCGGATCATTTCAAACTGGACCAAGCCCCATAATTTTTCCCCATTTTCAGGGGTTTCCATGTAAAAACTCTGTGGTATCTTATGAATGTTGGACCCTCTATTTTATCTTATTGTGTTCTAGATCTTCGTACAAAGCTAAGACGTTAAACTAAATATATTACTCTACCGTCGCGAATATTCTAGGACACAACAACAATTATAAGAGCCTTTCTGATGTGGAACATCTTTAACTAAATTAAGTCTTAGGAATAGTTTATCATTTAATACATGTTTTCTAGGCTTCTCTAGAAGTTTCTGTTGTCAATTATATATGTAAGCTGCTTTAGAAAGTAAGATATGAATGAATATTTTTGGATTATAATAGTAATTACTATTTTTTTGTTCTTGCTCATAGGAGCTATAACTTGTCATGATTCTTCAATGATCCCCCCACATCACTTTCTCAATGTTGTCTTTGACGATGTATGGGCCTTCTCAATTGGGTGAGAATTTTCTCATGTCATAAATTCATAATGTCTACTTGTGACTTCAATTTTCCTGAGCACAAGGTCCACAATCTTAAGTTCTCGTGGTAATTTGAACTTGTGGAGGATGATCAGTCATGTGACTCGCGTTTGAAGTATCGCTTCTTGGAATGTTGTGGTGGTCCTTCTTTCTTCAATCAGATTGAGGTTGACGACCTGCCCATTCTCATTCATTTGGATCCACTTGAATACTAGTTCTAGCTAGTAGCAGAGATGGAGTTTTTTAAGTTCTTGTCTTAGGTTGACAAGTCTTGGTTTTTAATCACTTCAGGCCAAACAACACAACATCACACTAAGTTTACAATCAATCCCTTATTATAAATAAAAGAGCTGTGAATCCATTCTAATAACAAACTAAAAGCAAGGAAGCAAAATAAAAAATGGAGGTGAACAGGGCAGAGAAATACAACGTTAAGATTTGTCGCAAAGAGATCACAGCAGCAGCAGCAGAAGCAGAAGCAAAGTCCCTGAAGGAGCGCTTCCTTTCTCTCTCTAACATCGACCTTCTTATTCCTCACGTAAACGTCGGAGTCTTCTTCTGCTACAGAAAGCCGTCTCCTTTGTTGTCCCCAGTCAATAATTTCTCCTCAATGGTCGCCAAGCTCAAGTCTTCCCTTGCTAACGCGTTGGCCGTCTTCTACCCCTTCGCTGGCGAGGTGGTGCTGAACGCCGCCGGCGAGCCGGAGCTGCTATGTAATAACCGCGGCGTTGAGTTCATCGAGGCTTACGCTGACGTGGGGCTCGATCAGCTGGATTTTTATGATGCGGATGGAACAGTGGTGAGGAAGCTGGTGCCCAAGAAGAAGAAGGCCGATGGCGGCGTTCTTACTCTCCAGGTTTTGTATTTTTCTGTTTCTTTTAAGGGATTTAAAGCCTCACTTTTGCACGACTTTAAAGCATGCGGTGGTATGGCATCAGATAATTGTTAAATGCTTAGAGCCTTAGAGAATTTTTTTAATGAGTATATTTTAGGATTTTTTTTTTCTTTATTTGGGGAATTATTCAAAATATGTATAGAGTTTTAATGATTTTTAATTACGTTAAATAAATAAGAAATGCTACAATATTTGCAATTAATTAAATTGTTAAAATACTACAATTTTTTTTCCTTGCCACAATTGATAGGCAACAGAGATGAAATGTGGGGGAATGATTTTGGGTTGTTCATTTGACCATCGAATTTCGGATGCCTACACCTTCAACATGTTTGTCATCGCTTGGGCTGAGATGGCGGTCGATGCTAAAGAACTATCAATCGGCCCAATCTTCGACCGCTCGCTTCTCAGTCCCCGTCAAGCAAACGAAGTTGTTTCTTTTGAACAAGACTTAAAACTAGACCAGCTATATGCGCATGTCTCTAGCTACTCCCCCCAACCACCACTGTCACCATCCGTAATCCAAAACCCTGATCAGTTGACCATCAGCCGCATATACTACATCGAAGCCAAAGAAATCAACCGCCTTCAATCAATCGCGAGCTCTAACAGGTTGCGTCGTAGGACGAAGCTCGAGTCCTTCACCGCTTACTTATGGAAGCTTATCGCACGAGTTGGGAAGTCTGGTCAGGTTTGTCGGATGGGTGTTGTGGTGGACGGAAGGCGGAGGCTGGGGTCGTCGAAAATGAATGCTTATTTTGGGAATGTGATATCTGTTTCCCATTCTTTGTTGGGGGTGGAAGAAGTGGAGGGAATGGGAATCGAAGAATTAGCGGATGTGGTTCATCAACTTGTGGTGGAGGTGGACAGGGAGGAACATTTCAGGGGATTGGTGGATTGGGTGGAGGAACGGAGACCCGAAGTTTGTATGTCTAAGATTTATATTGAAGAAGGTTTGTCAGTGTTGGTTTCATCGGGGAGAAGATTTCCGATTGCGGATGTGGACTTTGGGTGGGGGAAGACGATGCTTGGCTCTTACTATTTTCCTTGGGAGGGGAAGGGTGGATATGTCATGCCGATGCCGATGAGCGGGGACAAGGGGAAAGACGGTGATTGGCTTGTCTACGTGTATTTGTTGGCAGAGATCATTGAGGTGTTGGAGACTATCGGCGCTGACGTTTTCCGACCGATCACTAGCAATTACCTATTTTCTTCACAAAAGTAAGTTGGTCTACTTATAGTTTGATGAGATATTTGTAAGGAGTTAATTTCATTATCAATGTGTTGCAGGAAATAAGTATTGTCTGCGTTGGCTATTGAAATAATTATTATAAACTATTGTAAGAGAACTATGTTGTAGTTTCATAATTTCAATCATATCTACATACATTATGCTTTAAAGCATTTCTATTATGATATATTTTAAAAGATATATGATGGTATAGCCTCAAGAAAAAATGGGTCCAATTTTTATAAAATTTTTCTCTCCCCTACCCTCTTTCTCTCTCTCTCTCTGACCCTCTTTCCCACCTATCCCCTCTCTCTCTCTCTCTCCTAAATTATGTTATTTTATTTATTTTAGCTGTATACATCAAATTATTTGACATATTCAGAATGCAGCAAAATCATTTAACAATTTTACTCTTTTTAAAATTATTTTCTAAGTAGGCTTCTCAAACTAATTTTAACAAATAATATACTCTTTTTTAAATTTGGCCCAATAAAAATCTACCCTAAGCAAAAGTGTATCACAGTCTTCAAATTTAATTGGTCTAACTCATTAGATATCTCATTAAATGCTGATATGATTTCACTTTAAATGTGAACTACTTGGGAAATTATAGGAAAACTTAGCCCATTGAGTAAATATGAAAAGAATTATATAGTAATCCATCTTCCATTTTAACTGAACAAAGAAATAACCTAGCAGTATATCTGATCCAGAATCCACCAAAGCAATTGATCAGATCTAATACCAGTTTTATTATTTAAAAAAAAAACAAAAAAACAAACAAACAAACACTATCACAATATACATGGAGAATATCTACAAATGCACCAGCAAAGAGATGCTAAAGAATCACTAACTTCATCTAGATATGAACTATGGAGGCTGAACCGAATCTCATCAACTGGATTAATCTGTGTAGATGAACTCATCATTATCAAGATCTGAATCGAATAACTATGCAAGAAATATCGTCGCTGCTCTTCCTCGCTAATGCTTCTGTTGTTAGTCGCTTAGCCGCAGCTTGTGGATCTCTCATGGATTTCACCAGATTAACAGCTTCATTGTTCTTGATTACCTTAAGGAGCACAAGTGAATGGTTCAGAGATACAGCAGCAGGTGATATGAAATTATGAATATAGCAAATAACGTACCTTCCATAGACCATCACTTGCCAGAATCACAAATTTCATAGTCGAATCAATAGGAACATGTCGTACATCAGGTTCAGAACTTAAATGAGCCTTTAGACTCTGATCACCGAATGCGCGAGCAACTGCAAGCTGGCCGTTGACACGAGGAACATCACCTGATATGATGTTACTTGTTAGATGAGATGCATGCAATATGATTTAGGCTTCGTTTGAGATGGCTTTCTTTTTTCTTCTTAAAATAATTTTTTAGTATACAAATTTTAATTTTTGTACTAAAAAACTGTTTTATGAAGCAGTAAGAAAGTTGTCCCAAACAAAGTCTTAGAGTCTGTGTTGGGCAGCCACAGCTATATAAGTAATATAACCACTTGGGTATTTTTTTTTTTTAAAAAAATTTTGAAAGAAGTTATGGGTATTATCAGCTTTTTCTTTTCTAAAAAGTCCGACTTCTTTCTTACATCTGTCATGCTTTAGAAGATTTTATTGTAAAAATAATTTCTGACCAAAGAAATTTCTACAAATCGTCAGAAAAGTTGCAGAAAAATAAAATTATGGCAGTTGCTGGAAAAATAAAATTATGAAAAAACTGCCAGAATAGACCCTTAGGTTTCGTTTGGGATGGCTTTCTTCCTGCTTCTTAAAGCGGCTTTCTAGCACAAGTAGGAAGAAAGCTGTCCCAAACGAAGCCTTAATCTCATAGCATTGGGAAAGTGTTTGAAAGAACCAACACTCACCAGGAAATAGCGTCACAAAACCACCTCGTTCTTCAATATTTTGCCGTTCAACATCAGGCTCATGGTCAACAGTGATCTGATTAGCTGTTCCTCTTTCACATAGAACAGCTCTGGAATCTCCTACATTAGCAATCCACAGATCTTTGCCATCAACAACGATAGCTGTGACTGCAGTTGAACCCCCAGGACCCAGTTGTTTCGAATTTTCAAGAATAAATTTGTTTGTGGATTGGTAGGCATGTTTTATAGCTGCTTCAGGATCAGACCAGAAAATTGGCTGTACCATATTTAAGAAAAGAATCAACACAATGAAGACCACGAAACCATCAAAACAGAAGAGTCAGAGGCATAACATTTATAAATTGTTTGATCATAATATTGGAGCTTCGTACTCAAGTGAGTTAGCCCGCCAAATGGGAGTCCAGGCTTTGAAATTAAGGCTTCATTTGGGACGACTTTTTAACTACTTAAAGCAGCTTTCGAGTACAAAAATTTTAACTTTCGTACTAAAAAATTATTTTAAGAAGCAGTAAGAAAGCCGTCCCAAACGAAGCCAAAGGCACTGTGAGAAAAAAAAAAGTATGACAATGAAATATAACTTGGAATTTACCTCTCTGAGTATATTATTGAAAAGATTGTCTTTCAAGTAACTTGGCACTCCATCTCCCAAATGGCCATCAAAAATAGCAAACAAGCCGAGTTCATGATTGTTTTCATATCTGTACTCAGCTACAATATAATCTTCCATATCATGACCTGATTTTCCTTCAATTAAGTGGAAGCCGTGCTTCACTTTATTACTTGAAAATCTACTCTGTCCCTTTCCAGTACCTGCTGATGATGAATTTAGACATGCGGCACTCTTCACGAGCACCAATATGTTAAAACATATGGGGATAGAAATTATATAATAAAGCAATGGAAACAAGTACAGGCGCAAGGAGACTTGCGGATTCATAAAGAGTACAAGGGATTAATATCACATATAAAAGAGGATTAATATCCCATCAAAGAGAATTCTATTTGATCCTTGGCATACTGAGTAAACGAATAGTGAAACAACTAGTTCATATCAACATCCAAATACAATTGATATATTTCCCAAAGTTCATTTAAAGGAAGAGTTCAACGGTATGGATAGTTCACGCTATATGTTTCATGAAAATTATCTCAAACTTAATTAGCAAATAGAAAAAAAAAAAAAAAGGAATATTATCCTTGATTTTTTCTGGCTGAAATAGTGCCTTATCTGAAGTAATCCATTCGTCATCACCTCAATTGGATTTTTCTTAACTTTGTATTTCATTTCATCCATTAAGTTTACTCACAATAAACAAGGTTCGGTCATGAAGTTGAACAACAATAGACATCACATGACTTGCCCTTCGTAGCATTAACATGAGGGACCAAGACATGAGACAATCATCGATATGATTTATCCTTCTAGTTGACCTGACCCAAACAAATTAACCTATAAAAGCCAAAAACTAACACCACATGCATATATGATGTGGAAACAATAAAAAATAAACACAGAAAAGAACGTCATGATTACCGTGATTAGCTAAAAAAAGGGGACAATCACGACATCAAATCCTCCTATATGAAACTATTAGACCTAATTATGTTGTTATTTTGTGATCATGCAATTTGTTTCTGATGTAGCTTTTCTTTGAGAGTTTCCTAACGATGTCTAGGGTTTGTGAGAGAGCCGATATATCTCTCGAATGGTAGATCAATTGTATCTTGCTTTATTTTTTAAGAAGAAATCCAAATTCAGCCACTATATTCGTATTCCTGCAGTTTTTTTACTTAGTTTCTTTGTTGTTTTTACTTCCAAGGCGCATCAAATTGGTATCAGAACAAGATTTTTTGGAGACAATGGCAGCAAAGATGGTGGATACGTTGGAAGGCAAAATGAAGCATTTCAAAACCGGGGTGGAGGAGAAATTCTCAACCATCAAAAAAAAGATTTTCAACCATGGAGAATCGAATGAAGAGCCAATTTGGAGGGTTGGAAGAGAAGATGAAGAAGCTCATTGATATGTAATTCAAAAATCCACCGACGGTTCTGATGGGTAACCCTCCCCACATTCGGTCAGAATTCCATTGGTCGATTCTACAAGGAAAGAGATCGGACAGGAAGAGTTCGATGAAGAGAGTTCCTTTCATCAAAAGCCACCTCTTACCAATAAGGGGTATAATAGGATTGTCAGATGGGAGGATACCATGAAGGGAGTTTTATGGAGGTTTTTTATGGTGGAGGTGGTAGAGTGACCAACCACTATGGGAGGCTGTGTGGGCAAGGGGATTGGACAACCGTAAAAAGAGGAGGATGAATTGAGCCATGGGTATCGGGTAATGGGAGACGAATCGAAGAAAGGTGGGATTTCCACCCTCGATGCATGGGGGAAATGTGGGCTCCGAAAATTAGGCCCCAGCCTCCCCCGTTGTTTTTAAGGGGAGTTTTAAAAGATTAAGTTCCGGAGTAAATTTTGAGAATAAATATTGTGTTTGTAGATAAGACACTATGCAGGAATTCCGCCCTCATTTTGTAATGACTTTATGATATGAGTTTTGATTTCCTATAGGCGGAAGCCCCTATAGTTAATTACCCCTCCTGATAACGTGAGAGAACCTTCGATTAAGTCTAGTCATCAATCAGATACGTAGAAAAGATGCGTGTTATATGACATATAATAGCAACATGAGCTTGGGTATTGTAAGTTTGAAGATTTGATATTTAAAATTTGAAATTTTCACAATCTTCTATTTAAAGCGGATGGTGAGGGAATGGATGATAGACTCGATCAAGATCCCATGGTTCCATCATCCTGGTCCATCATGGTCCCTGGTCTACTTAGTCATAGGAGGTAGTCAACCCAACCTGACAGAAGGATCATTGATGGCAGCCATGGGTTGCTTCGTCCAAGGATACCTTGTAGACCTGGGATGGGTATTTGCCTAAGGGGGCAAGTTTAAATCCACCTTAGCTAATAGAGGGCTTTGTGCCATATCGATTATATTCTATTGATTCATATCTCAAAGATTTGATGTCATTGGAGAGCTTACGGGATATGGCCATAACCATAATTTAGTGGTGTCATTTGGCGGCAAATCACCCGGTTCAGAAGGCCCCGATCATAACTGTTTACCTACAGTACCGTTTGAAGATAAAACCGCCGATTAGAGGATACATGTCACGTCATTACTGGCAGGAGATTGTTTGAGAATGAATCTTATTGATATTTACAACAAGACGCTAGCTCTTCATAAGCTGAAGTGATATTTAAATTTGTCTACCTCGACAAACTATTACGGAGGGTGAATGGATTTTACTTTCAGGATTTGATGGCTTATTTCATTTTAAATATTTTAAATTTGATATTTTTTGGAATTTTGAATTATATGGGTCTCTAGGAGGCATTTTGACTATTTGAAATTAATCTCTCCGATTGAGATTTACGTTCAACACGGACATCATTGGGATAGTTATGGGGAAATCTCTCCGATTGAGATTTACGTTCAACACGGACATCATTGGGATAGTTATGGGGAATTCCTTATATGGGTTGAATCTTGTTGACTATGTCAACTTGCCGACAAAGGATCGGGTTCATTCTTGGCTTTATGCCTATATTATGAATTGTTCCTTTGATAAACTTTAAAGGCCTAATATGAATTGCAAAACAAAATATTATAGTCAGTGTCACGACTGTATATTTATTTAATGGTTCGAGCCGTGTCGACTCCTACCCACTCACATAGAAGGATCAGACTCGAACTTGGGTTTATTGGTTGACCCGCACAACATCCATAGTCGTCACGTGTATACCTATAACACGCTCGTCGAGGCTCATGCGAGTATTTGATTGCATGCACTTCTTTGTGTTTATGAGTATACATTTGTAGTGCATGCATAAGGGCATTTTCAGAAACATTTAACACTGATCAACTATGCAAATGATCAACATCCAGGCGTGTATGTAGAAGCCCATATATGCCTTTTATCTGCTTGTACGAGTGTTGTATATTCGGTGGCATGACATCGTACAACGATTATTAATTCATTACTTTATACAGTTGGATATTTGTATTCATCATTAGCTTTTGTGCTTTTGCCTGCAAATAATGTATTGTGCTGGTTGCAAATCTTTCCCATTCATTTTTATCAGAGAATTTATCATGCTAGCAATATGCCCCATATCATGGCTCATAAGAACAATTATTGTAGGGATTACAAATCTTCTATCGTTATCCATGGGCGAGCTGCATTGCATGGAAGTCTTTTAATCACCCGTATAGATATAATTCACCACATTCCTCGAGTCTTCTGTAATGAGTAATGACCTGTACGAGTTTGTATTTGATGCATATTTATCAAACATCACATGGCGGTTAGTTGTAAGGGTACTATCGCCTCTATTGCACGTTGATATATAATTTGCAGGTGTTCGTACATACTGTGAACACACTTGGTTACTTGTAGGTAGGGGTGTAAACGAGTCGAGTTTAGGCCCTTATTGAGCTCGGCTCATTAGCTGGAAAGTGAGCTCGAACTCGAGTTCGTTTCACTGTAAATGAGCTCGAGCCGGTTCACGAGCCAACTTGCGAGCCATGGGCTAGAATTTTTAAATTTAGGCTAGATTTTTAAAATATAAGCGGGATTTTTAAAATATAAGCGGGATTTTTAAAACTTAGTCAAAATTTATACACCGCTACTTGCAGGCGACGCATCGTATACATGAAAGATCCCTTACAAATGACAATGTAGATGTTTGTATGCACTACAAATGTCTCATTTCCACTTGTAGATGATATATCATGTATACCCGTATTCAAAGAGGACCTGTCACATTTAGTGTAGTGTCTTCCAATATCTGTTGAGAATAGTACTATTGTATATGCTTTGAATTTTTGTCGCTGCTTGTGAGTGCTTATACTTATTGCAATTTACTGCTTTTGGCTTATGAATGATGCCTAGCATACATTAGTTGTATGTTTTTTTATGAACACATCACGAGATCGACTGCCATCATCTTGCCTCTCATTATTGTCTACAAGCGAGTTGCCATGCTCTCTATAGTCTTCGATGATTATTGCTTATAGATGAGTCATATTGAATATTACAAAGGGTTTCCCGCACCAACCTGTAGATATTTGTGTTCTATTATGTATCATTTGCTTCTGTCTGTAGAACACAGATATATTTGATAGATATTGAGTTGTTGATGATTGTAGGGACGATTCAACGCCCACTGCATATTGTTTGTTGTCACTCGCAGATGGCCACTACATGCATGGTGAGTCTCTTACATTTGGATGATGTTGTATAATTGTTGACCATAAGAGTGTCGTAATAGCTCATAAATGACTTGTGCGTGCACTGCAAACACACTGCCTTTGGTTACAACAGCTTCTAAGTGCCTTGTATGCATTGTATGTATATTATCCTCGTCTGCGGTTGCATGTATATCAAAATCCATAGAATGTCGATCATCCTTGCAATCTTTTTGTTGTTGTTGTTTGCAAGGACTACAATGTCTTCTTGTAAGACTGCTATGGATACTACACATCGACTGTCATCACTTGCATGCATGTTGGTGTACTCATCTACGAATGACTATTGGCTACTTATTGTCTGCATTCACCATCAACCTTTTCATGCTTGCCAACTAGTGAGCTGTATATTTTTTGTGCATGCTGACTTTCAGTATTTTGTAGAGAATCGTGGCCTTCACTTGCTAATTAACCGCCGCCATTTGAGGGGACATTGTAGCATTCACCATATGTCTCTCGAATTCATTTTTAGTTGGGCAATCGTATCGCATTTGTTTCTATATATTTCACTCTTCTTCACAA